TCGAGATGAGTTCCGGCTCCCGGTTCGTTCTCTATGGTTATGCCCCATATGTTTAGACCGTTTTGTTTATAGGCGTCTAAGAACCTGAATTTGAATCAAGTACAATTATAACTAAAAATTTAAAAACACTAAATGAGACTAAATAAAATGCAATTACTTCACAAAATAGTTGGCAAATGTCTTATAGTAAGGCCCTCCCGGTTCCCCAATAAGAAATCCCCCGTGATTGAGTTGACTATTATTTTTCATCCAGGCCGGTGCAGACCACGGACTCCCAAAGAACTTTACTTTATTCTTGTATGGACTCACTTGTAGTGCGGCCTTCATATATGGGATTTATTTTTAATATAAATATTAATATCTGTTGTGAGAATATAAACCCAGACTTATGAGTTACCGAACATTTGGTATTTGTTATAAGATTTATAGTATACAAATCTTACAAAAATTACCAAATATTCGGTAACCCTTTAGTCTGACTATATTTGCAAACGGATATAGTGTTTGTGTGACTCATATGTTTGTTTTGTTTTGCAAACCTTATAGTTGTGGTCATCTGCGGTCAGATTCCAGTATTTGAGCTCAAAGTCCCCCTTATGGTCGTCATCATAGCTGTAGGGGTGGGTCGAGAAGTCCGATCCGCCGATCGGCACGCGATTCAAGTTATACTCCAAACCTCTGTCCGAGAAATAGTCGCTTACGAGTAGGTCCTGAAGTTTTTGCGGCAAATTCCTGATGTTATAACCGGTGGCGTCGGTGAACGAACCGCCGAAACCCATGATCTTCTGGATCTTCTGAGTCCTGTCGACCGTCACATCCAGTCTTTGTTTGGCGTTTGTCTTCGGTTTGTCTCCGAATTTGAGTTCCGTTTTCTCCAACCGATCGCCACTTTTACTCGTCTCGAAGACAGTGACCACACGAAAGCCCCAGAAGTGCTCACCTAGGTTTAGTAGCGTTACGCACTGTAATGTCTGTGTCTGCCAGCGTGGGAAAGGCATCAGGGCCACGCGCGTGCCGACTGCCCGGTGGTGAAACCCTCATTTATAAAAATACAATACTTATAATATCTGTTATTGGAAATCAATGGTATACTTATGGGATACAGAAAATATGGTACTTTAGGTACTTTAGTAGGTATTTAGTATACTGTACATAGTATTTTAGATACTATTGATAATCTAGATTTATAACTGCGATGTCTATAAAATAAATGTACTTTTTCTCAAATACAGATTATATGAAATGTTTTATTTACGAAAAATTTAATTGTTTATTTATGATAATAGTAACAATAAATTCAATTTGCTTGAAAATTATTCAGTTAGTACAACGCTATTATGATATACTGTACTTTTGAATCATATTATGAATTAATAGTGCATGGTTCAAATGCATACCACCACTCGCTGTAAACCTCACTGTAGCTCAAAGTACTGTGTAAAGTACTGATCTCGTACTACTGCACCTGGATATATGCCACAAAATATTCCGTATTTTACTAGATTTAACAAGATTTAATGATAAATGTCCCTGTTTTCAACCATGATTATATTACGTAATATATGCGATACGTGCTTAGTCCTCCAATGTTATTAGCATGCCTGGTGTATTTATGCTTAATATCTATGTTACTAGTGTTACGGTCTCTATTGTCTCGACTTATTTCACACATTTTCCTACAAATTTTTATCAATTATTGTATTATATTTTTATGTTTTTAATTATTTTTTATAAAAAGGTCAACTGAACTAGATTAATGCAACCTATTTTTATAATATTTGTAACTTTTAGATTAATATCTTTAATTAAATATTGTCATAAATTAAAGATTTCTACGAAATTTTAAAAAGCGGACCTGTTCATATCCCTTTAATATCATATCCTAGTGTCACAATCATTATTTAATAGTGCATCTATAGTACGTCTATGGTGCAAATATCGTAACCACATTTTATGGTACATAAAAATGGTACGATATATAATTAGATACCAGGTAGATAATAGGAAATAATAATAAAATTATCTCATTATTTTTCAAAAGTTGCTGATATTTTTAAAACTTTATGTTAGCAACAAATGTTAAATTCTCACTGTTTAACAAAATAAAAATCATATAAATAGTTTTGGTAAAATTACCAAACTTTTATAAATAGTAGTTATACACAATGAATAAATTATCAGTTATTTTATATGTATTATTACCTTGCTTAATTCAATATAGTTCCACTGAATATCAATCATTATGTGGAAATCAATGGACAGTCACATCAGAGAATAAATGTAAATTTTAACAAGTTAAATTTTATTTTCTTATTATAAATTGATTTATTTAATAATTTCTTTTTGATTAAACAGCCATTAAAGCAAAAGCTACCGTTCCCGGGGATATATACTCAGACTTACGACAGGCTGGCACTATAGGCCGAGACCTACTTGTCGAGGATCATGATTCAAAATATAGCTGGATATCAAATGCTCCCTGGTTATATGAGCTACAATTTAATGGTATATTAATGCATACTAAAAATATTTGAATGTTTACTTCAAATAAGATTTACAATATACCCGTTTATTTTATTATATTAGCTGTAATCATGCTTATTTTTATTTAATAGTTAGCGCAAATATACTGAGCAAACAAGTGGTGAATTTGGTGGTCGAGGGCATCGACACCGTCAGTAATATTACGGTAAATGGCGTTCAGATCTTACGGACTATCAATCAGTTCGTGCGGTACGTGTTTGACGCCAAACATGCCCTTAAAAGCGGTCAAAACTCTATACAAATACACATTGAAAACCCTCAACACTATGTGGACGTCCAAAAGAATTGGTATAATAAGACATACCATTATGGTATAAACCCCCGTATGTATCATATCATTCATAACATAAATTATCTAAATATTCAAGGTAGTGTGTAAATGCCCGTATTTATTTATAATTTTATATATTTAGCTAGAGGTTACATACGTAAAATGGGCGCATCATTTGGGTGGGACTGGGTATGGAAATGTGAACATATTTTTAGTTATTTTATTTTAATATATTTTATTTAAACATTTTGTTCAAAGGGTCCGTCATTTAAAACACAAGGCATTTGGAAACCCATTGGTATCGAGGCTTACGATAAGGCAATTATTAGAGACATTACGGTCGAGACGACACCCGATGCACACAATGGCAGCCAATGGACACTGAATACCAATATTTTCATTGAATCCCAAATTAAACACTCTTTTGAGGCAAACATAACTATTTCACTGGACGGAAAGGTACTCCAAAGTGGACAGTCGTATAATCTTACTACAGGCGCCGATGGCACGGCTAAACTAGCTCTGAAACTACCGGTGAATAACATGTCTATAACGCCGTGGTTTCCAAACGGTGTGACAAACGGTACGCAAAAGTTGTATGAATTGGGGGTAAAGATTGGGTTCAATGGGTCGACAGAAGTGTCGGAAAAAGTAGTGAAAATTGGTTTCCGAACCATTCAAGTGATACAAACTCCGGTAAAACCCAAAGGATTGACATTTTATTTTCAAGTCAATGGCGTCCCGTTTTTTGCCAAGGGCACTAATTGGATACCCGCTAATATTCTACAGGTAAGCCAACCTATAATTTAATATAAAGTTTCATTTTACTAAATATAATATATATTCAGTTGTATAAAATCATTTGAAAAATAAACTGTTAATTGTTTTTTGTGTGTATATTCCTCAGGAGGACCTGACCAGAGATTATTTGAAACACATGATGGAGTCGGCAAGAGATGCCAACATGAATATGATGCGAGTGTGGGGCGGAGGGGTGTATGAGTCGGACTACCTCTACGAGTTGGCCGATGAGTACGGGATTATGCTTTGGCAGGACTTCATGTTCGCGTGCGGGAGTTACCCATCGGATCCGGACTTCTTGGCCACAGTGGACATAGAGGTCACACAACAGACACGCCGTTTGCAACACCACCCGTCCATCGCTATCTGGTCAGGTATGTAACCATTAAAACCCCTATATTTAGTAGATCTTTCGATAAAACTTACTAGTTTACAATAAAAAATCTTATTACNGTCCAAATCGGTGATTATATCGGTTGACGCGCTATAAAAACTCTATACATTTTGCTGTGAAAACTCTGACTCGTATAGAATGAGTAGTTTAATGGGCTTTTATAGCAAAAATGTATAGCGCGTCGACCGATATAATCACCGATTTGGACACCTAGGACATTCCGCTGGATTACCGGACCTGGACAGTCCTATTATACCATACCATACGAGTATAATTCACTCGGTTTTAATTGCAATTAGCGTGATCACTTCCCGTTCTTGCATTGTCAGTTAAATTATTAACATATAAAAACTACGTTATATTTATGCAAAACATGAATAGTTTAACCCTGAACAAAAGTTAAAAGTTGTTGAATAAATATTATCCAGTAAAATCTTATTCAGTAATATTACTCAGTGTAAAATACCATACCATACGAGTATAATTCACTCGGTTTTAATTGCAATTAGCGTGATCACTTCCCGTTCTTGCATTGTCAGTTAAATTATTAACATATAAAAACTACGTTATATTTATGCAAAACATGAATAGTTTAACCCTGAACAAAAGTTAAAAGTTGTTGAATAAATATTATCCAGTAAAATCTTATTCAGTAATATTACTCAGTGTAAAATCTATACGGATTTAGAAATATTCCTAATAAACTGAATTACATTTTTAAATAACTAAATTAATCTGCTAAGCATTAAGCTTGTTTAATTGTATCATTCGCAAAATTAATTGAAAACATTTATATCCCAGGTATTTATTTCAAAGCCCCGTCTACTGGTGGTATTGAACGATACCAGGATTTGGTATATTTATCACAAGTGGTTCAGGCGATGGCTATGAAGTCTGCGACCGAACACCATAGACGGAACCGGGAGGTGAGTGCGTCCGGCTCCGGGAACACAATGGGTGCCCTGTATTGGCAACTGAACGACATATGGCAGGGCACCACCTGGTCGTCCATAGAATACGGCGGCAAATGGAAACTATTGCACTCATATGCCCGCGATTTTTTCGCCAAACAGTTGGTCACCCCATATGAGGACAAAAATGAAACTTTAAAAGTAATGTAATTTTATTTATTATTTTAAACCAAGATAATATTTTAATGAAGTTAAATATAAAATAATTAGTTAAATTAAATACAGTATAAGATCATTTACATGAATTTTTAACACAACTTATTTTAAAAATATGTTTTTATTACTATTATGATAAAAGTAATTATTCTAGCATGTACATTTGGATAAATTATAAAGTCGTTAGTTGTATTACATTAATCAAAATGAGTATGTTACAATAAATTAACAAAATATTTTTATAGGTTGCGTTAGTACGGGATGACTACGAGGATAGGCATGAGTTTGATACAACTGTCCAAATATACAAGTGGTTGTCCACTACACCCATCCATCAAATTGTATTGAAGTCTGTGAGTGAAAGCGGATTTTCAGCCCAAACCCTATGGAATCACTCCATACCAGTGCTGCTCAAGGAGTCCGGCTGTGCAGACAGAGCTGACTGTGTGGTCAGAGTCGACGTTCCCTTCTATGGGGTATGCATATCAGGGTCCTTTTGATAGGAAATAGGGAAATGTTTCAGATTAATGAAACAATTTCTGAACGTACTTATTGAATACCCATTTTATATACTGTTTATACTTTTAACGCAACATTAAAACAATTAATTATTTTCTAAATAGATATCGAATTTCCTGTTATTAACTGAACCGAGAAACTCGCGAATAGTTAAACCGAATGTGAAGTTAGTTTCGGTGAAACTGAGACCCAATGTCGAAGTCAATGGTAATCCGAAACACGTGTTCGACATAACGCTGTCCACCGAAGCCGTCGCACCGTTTGTTTCGCTCGACTTTGCGTTGAATTCTGGAATTCGCGGCAATTTCTTGGAAAACGGATTCTTTATATTCGATTCGCGAAAGACTATTACTTTTGTCACAGAATCTAATGCTACGGAAACTGACATTGCTAAACATTTAACCATTAAAACCGTGTCCGATGTTGCTTGAATAAATAAATAAAACTAAATTCCTAAACCTTTGATTCCTAAACCTTGCTAATCATTTCGTTAATACAAATAAGTTATTACTACTGCGAAAAACATATTGAGTTAACAAGTTAAGTTTATTTATAATCTAAAGAATTTTTCATAATGTAACATAGGGCGTAATATTGAACTGTTTAACAATAGCACAAAACACCCTAGATCACTTTATGGATGATTCACAGGGTTGGGTCCAACTTCTTAAGCACCGGTTCCATAGTCTGCTGCCACACCTCATAGCCCTTAGGACTGAGATGTAGTTTGTCGTCGTTATAGAGCTCTGTATGTAGTTTGCCATCCGTCTCGTAGGCCGACCACATGTCCAGGAAAAAGACATTCTTATCGTTATTCAACGTCTTGATCACCTCATTGACCTGTTTCACTTTGTCTCGCAACGAGTCCCTGGGCAATAGTCCTAACAAAATAACCTTGGTGTTCGGCATTTTGCCTAACAGTTCAGTCACAGCTTCACGAACGCCGTGCGCGATGTCCTCCACCGTATTGGGGGCCGCGTTGTTAGTGCCTATCGTTTTGCAAATCATTTATAAATTATAATTCATTTATAATTTAAATATTTTATATTTATAGCTACTGTACTATTATAGTACTAAATGAGTCTTTCCACTCTCCTTTCATTACGACATTAATAGTGCTAAACAGTACCAAACAGTCGTAATGATAGGTGATTTGAAATGCTCATTTAGTATTATAATTATTAATACATCAGTACCATTAATATGACTATGCTTGTATATTTTGTAATAAAATTAAAACAATAGATCATGTATATTTAATATACAGTTATCATATTTTAATTTTTTTTAATTAAAAAAACACACATCAGAATCATGATAACGGTATTGACATTAGTTTCACGAACCGATCATAAGGACCGTCACTTTGGGGTGGAGTCCGTCGAACTCCTTGTGTTGGATCCGGTAGATGACGGCCTCAATCCTATCACCACCGATGCCGTAATTAAACGCGTGTCGTGGGGCGTAGTGTTTGTCCCAAACAGCCCGTCCATTGCTGCCCCACATCTCAGTGATTGAGTCGCCGACAAACACAATGCGTTCATCAGCCATATGCTGAAGGGTTTGGTTAACCATTGCCTCATGTTTTTTAAGCCAAACGGCACCCCCGTCCCCGGGCTGTGGGTCCCAGGGGTGGTGTTGGGCTGATATTCCCGTTACTAACACTATTGCACTTATTAATGATAGCATTATTGTTGTATTGATTTTACAGTTTGTTGGAAAACAATTGAATTATTTGCGTTTGAGCAAGCACTTAAATAATAGAAAATTGTTAATAATTAAGCTATTGTTATAAACTAATAATCAACTATGGATTAATTAAATGATATTAAATACTATTGTATACTTTTTTATTGTACTGTTTGGATTATAATGTGTACTTGTTCGATTACTATCGCTATCTATAAATATACCAGTTGTTATTTAGTATTATATAAAGTGATATTATATACAGTGAAGTTACCAATATATTATTGAATTAAAGCTATAATACTAACGTAACTAATGTACTTGATAAAGTTTGTATTTATCGATAATTCATACGTTTGATATTTGCTTAATTATTTGCTCGAAAAACATTTATTTTATTTATAATCCCCAATACTTATTCTCATTTGAAAAAGCAACCAGGTGCATTACGAACGAGTTGTTCTAGTTACCTTGTCACTAATCAATCATAAAAATACTTTTTACAATTTTATTGTAAAATTAAGTAAATTAATAAATACTACATTTTAATGTCATGTAATAGTGTATAAAAATAAATAGTTATTTAAATTTATAATATACGCAAATAGTAACTATAGTAAATATAACTTGTATAACTTAATGCTTAACATGATTAATAGTACTAATTTTAAATTTTAAAGTAAATACTAGTGTTTATAATATAAAAGTCAAACACAATAATTTATACTAATTTTAAAATCTACTTTCAATACTGGTAAAATATATTTTATGTATATAAATTAGGTAAATATAATTTATATACAATTAATTTCTTTCACAAATACAATACATAAAAATATATTTTAAATTAATTCTAAACAAATAAATAAATTATAATTTGTATTTATAAAATTTATCAATATGGTAAAGGTACTTTCGTATACTAACATAACTTTATAATTATAATATTATGAATGGCTATAATTTATTCATAACTAGTTATCATATTTCGCGACAGTATTCATATAAAAATGCAAAATATAGAAAATATATGTAAAATAAATATCATGAATGCTAATAATAAAAATAAAATTGATAATAAATGTCAAATATTTTCTCATTTAAAGCAAACAAAATTTTGTCAAATATTATACATTATTATTAATAATTTATTAATATACTATACTCTACACAAAAGTGTGTATGTAACTTTATTATAAATATTAATTCATTTTATTATATTTGCAAATTTACGTTAATAATGAATGTATACAGAATATTCTTTATAATTGTTTTTTTTGTCAGACAAATACTGATTTAAAAAAGACTTAATACTATTTACTATTCAATTTACATTGCATTAACTTTTATAATGTCATACGCTATGTATGACTGGACACATACACACAGCCACTACAATATGTTCACAAAAATCTAATGACTTTTTAACGCAAAAACCAATTTTACATAAAATTCACAAAAGTTTTCCCAGGATTTCAACACTTGTTTTGATTGCAAAATGAAATCTTATTATGCATTTCAATTGTAAAGCTGTTGCCCTAAACACACAAATCAAATGTAAATCTTATGTGTGTTTTGTTGTGAAATATACAGTAGTCTCGCGAATAAAACAAATGTCAATAGATTTTAGATTTAATACTAGAATTTGTTTTATTGTTTTGTTTTTAAAATACATTTTCATTCAAATACTATTCCCCGATACCCCGACACCTTATTTATTGTATATATAAATTATTTTAGTTATTATTAATTAATAAAATAAGTTTGAAAATACATTCAGTGAGTAATCGCTAATCAGTTTTATTATTAATACTATGGCGTGATATACTGTATTGGGGACAAGTATGATAAACAAAATACAATTATGTAAATATGCATACTTCAAAACCTATGCCGACTTTATTACTACATATTTATGGTATGAGTTAAGATATATGTTGTTTGATTCAAATCAAGTACAGTAGTACTGAATCAAAGTAAATATTTATAATTAAAGGGATATACAAAACCACTATAATATAAGTTTATTATAATTTATTATTATAAATAGAAATGCAAAATTATTGGCTTTATTATGTGTATAATATTTATGTGTATTTATATGTATTTATGTGTACGTACTGAATGAACGAAAAATTGTATTAATAGTTTACAAGTAATATATTAGTAATAATTTTTGTTTGTAAAAATCGCATCAAGTGAATTTAATGTATTTTATTTTATAAAAATATTCATTATTAATGATTCAAAATTAGTACAAGCTTAGTAAATAATATGACACATACTGTATCTGCCTTACAGAAATCTTATCAAGTTAAATGAATCAGGTATGAGTATATAAAATTAAAATGAATTTTTAATGTTTTAATTTTTCTGACAAATGTTATTATTTTAAAAAATTACTAACAATTAAAAATATTTAAGGGGTCAATCATTTAATGGACACCCACGTTTTTCATTTCTAATTATAAACCTTGCTGTCATATGTCTAAACCAGTGACAAGTAAAATATTAAAAAACAAAAAATAAGTAACACATAATTTATTTATTTCATATAGATTAGTAGTAGATAGATCATATTGATTAACAATTGTATTTTGTTTTACATTTATCGCATGAATAATCTAATTGATAATTACAGTATTTATAAATATTATATAATAATATTAAAATACCATATAATAAATATTACCTTATCATATAATATTTATTAAGAAGTTTAACCTGAAAATAAATTATATTTTTGCTGTCGACATGTATATTTAATTAGAAATTATAAAACATATGTCATATTTTGATGGCATCGGTAATATTTAATTTAAAATATTTCTAAATAAAGTCAATATTTCACTTAATTTTCATGAATAAGTATATATTTTATATTTTTAGTTTTGAAAATTAAATTATATATAGAATTAGGAAATATCAATTTTTCATATTAATTAATAATAATTTGTAATATATCATAATTACAGCAATTTTGATGACATGTGAATTAATTCATGATAAATTATAAATAATTAAAGTCTAATATTTCGTATATGATAATAAAATTTATTTGATTCCTAATTTAAAATTTTCAAAATATTTTCTAATGCACTTTCCACGAAAAATCTATAATATATTATTTATTATACAGATTTATATATATTTATATCATCATAGTTACTTTACACATACATATACATATACATATAATATATTTATGGCATTTCATAGATAATGCCATTATTCTCATTATTCTTAATACGATATCAATTCAGTATATATTATGTTAACAATAAATTTTATTGAATTTGTTATCATTGTATACTGTATTGTATTGTCTATACATACAGAATATCTATGTCTAACACATCTAATGTAGAATATTCTGGATTTTTCATAATTATTATATGCTTTCAACACATTATAAGTTATTTAACGAATAAATTAAGGTTTTGAATTTTTATTTAAGTATTTTCATTAATATATTTTTTTATTTTTAGATTTCATATTAGCAGTACTAAATACTTGACATGTTTAATGCATTTGATGTCAATATTACATTAATTAAATTATTTATGGAAGATTACCAAAATATATAAATTATTCTTAGATTTAATCAATCTTACTTAAAATGACTTTATATCCTAGATATAAATCCTATATTTGCATTGAATTTAAATACATTATTCTCATAAAACCTTATAAATATATTATTAGTTTTATATGTACAGGTACCGACATACACGTGTTGAAAATATCATTGCTATATTAAAGATTAAATATTAAAAATAAATAAAATATTGTTAGGTATTAAATAATAAATAATAATGTCATAAATAATATTTTATGTAGATAATACTTAATAAAATTATTAGTAATATAATTGTGTAAATAAATGTGATGAAAATAATCTGAAAATAAATTTGTTTTTAAAAAATAATAATAAATTATAATTTATTACAATTTCTAGACAATAGACATATGAAACGTTAAATGATAAGCATATGGCAATGAAATGTAAAAAATTTTAATGTTACAAAAAATTGATAATTAAAGTGTCTATTATTTATGTTAACAAAAGAAAATATTAATTATAAAACCTATCTTAAATCTATTGTTTATATAAAAAATATCTTTTATTATATGCATTACACAATTAATTAATTTTATAAAATAGTGTAAAAATGTTATATAGATCATATATTGTATTTAAAATTTGAATTCCCAAAACTATAGAGATTATAAAATTAAACAAACATTTTTAATTTATTAATGAAATAATTTTTGGTATTTTTAAAATATAATTATTTCAGTAATATGGTTTCAGACTATTATTGTTTTGACGATTATATTACATTTACTGAACTAAACATGCTAAATATTTTATTTACAATTTACGATTATATTCATCGGAGCAATATAAAATAAAAGATAAAATAATTTATTTAATTCCTAAATTACATTAACTTTAACACATTCATTATTTAATCTACATACATTATTATAACAACTTAAATACTGTAAATTATTGTGAAATATTTGCAATTATAGTCATTATATTAAAGTTACGTTGAAATTAATTAAACTAAAAATATTAACTGAAATTCACTGTTTAATAAAAGCTATTTTTATCAATATAATTATTTTGTTTTTAGTTATATTCTATAATCATAAGTATTTATAGAAATTCAGGCATTTGTCACATCAGTCCAAATATTGTTTCACAATAAATTTCTGGGAAAATACTCGTTAATCACTTAAATCTCAATTAATAGCATTTAATTAGGGATTTAATGTGGAAAACGCGTAAAAACACAAAAACACATTAAATCCAATGCGGGATTAGCAGCTAATTCAAGGATAGCCTACTTAAACATACTGTAGATAACAAAAAAGGGAAAACCATTCAAACACACAGTAAAACACAACTTATTCATTATATTATCATAAAATACACGCAAAATGTAAATTTAATTGAATTTTTAACGCGTGAACAGTGTTTATAAAAATTTTAATGCTATTAATAATACGTTTGAAAATAGACTTTCATAAATATTTACATAATAATAATAATAAACTTTGTGATAATATAAGCGATAAAATATATGATAATTTTATATTCAATTCAAAAAGTTAATTATTAAAATATAAATACAGTATATACACGTTTAGAAAAGTTTTATCGCAAACTGTTACCCAATTGACGTATGGTTTTAAAATTTAAATTTTAATATCAGGGTATTCTCTAGAGAATTGTCCCACTTTTCTAGCTAGTATAAGTAATATATATTAATAAAACCGTGAATAATATTCACATATCTAGCTATATAAATGAAAAATAAAATAAAGATTTTTGATTAAAATTATTTTTGGTATTAGTAATAGAAACACAATATTTTCATTTAAATTACTTTCATGAATTTTGATTTTAAAATTTGAGATAATATATTTTATATTAGTAAATATTAATCGTACAGTATATAATCCAATTATTACTCTACATTGATTATAATATACCAAAAATACTTATATAAAATCATTTCAAAAGCCTTTTCACATGTAATTGTAAGCACAAGTTCTGTATATAAAATTGTAAACCCTTTTTACTGTACATGAAATAAAGTCGTTATATACATGAGATTTTATTTTTAAATAAAATGCTAAAAATAAATAAGAAAATATTTTACATTTTAAAGCTAAGGTATTATTGAATTATTATTATGTGTGTGTGTGTGAGAGAGAGAGAGAGAGATTTATATTAGACGTTACGATAAACGAAATTATAAAGACTATATAAAAACCCTTTTAATAAAAGCCAACATAAAGAATATTCTTGCGGTTAACGTCATGAATGCTAGCGAAGAATGTCTCCGAAAAAAAATTTTTCATTAAATAAAATTCCATTGAAATAAACACATCACACATATAATAGTGACTATAACTCATACACACAAAAATAATAAAATATAATTTTTTAACTGTCATTTAACAACAAACAAAATAGCAGTGCGTTTACGGCTTGACTACAGAAATAGTGTTTAAATTAATTATAGTTTTAGTTTTCAATGAGAAATGCAATTTTGTGTCTCGTTTTCATCCAATTTTCGGGACATTTCTCTTAAGACAACTCCGGTGACAGTCAGTGATGATAGGGGTGGGGAATGGTAGAGGGTTAGGTATGTGAACAAAATTTTAAACTAACATTCACTAGACTTTTAGTTTAGCAATTATTTTTGAGTTAAATGCTATCGTAATATAAATCGCTCATTATTTTCATAGATTATTGTATTATAACTATTTATTGGACTACCCCTGGTCCTACCTTTTGATCTCTACATGAATTAAAATTAACACTTTATAAGGTATTTTTAATAATAGTATTAGTTACAAATAATTAAGACAAATTAAAAAACATAATAACACTACCGTTTATAATCAAAATTAAATATTTAGTACGTGTGTGCTAGAATATATTGGATATTTTCTAATTATCTTGGTAATTAAATATTAATCAAAAGGTAAACATAAAAAATAATACAAACAATTTGACGTATTTATTTGTTGATTATAATGTTATTAGCAAATTATTTAACTATTTTTTATACTGAGTAATAATAAAATTATTTATTAGGCTAATGTCAAGCTAATATAGTAAAATCACCTAAAATTACTAATATAATCTAGATTGAATAAAAATACAATTGATATAAAACATATAATTATATTGCAACACAAAAAAAACGATTCTGACTTTTTAAAACATTAATATAATTATTTATAATTACATAAATGAATTACCAATTAAATTAGCAATAAAATAATTACCAAGTAGACATCGTAAACAAACAAATAAAACAATATTAACTCAATTAAACATTTTCTAAGAATCCTTATAAGAAGTTAGTATGAAATGTAATTTATTAATAGTAATTAAGATTTAACATTACTGAAAACTAATATAAATTATCATCTACATTCATTCACGTATGCATAGAATATTGAATTATTATTTTTCTAAGCTTATTTATGGTTGATGAAATTAGTTAGTGGACACTAATTTGTACTACTGTAATAATATAATATATATTTATATTCACTGCACTAGTAAATTATGTTAAACTTAATTGCCTATTTAGTTTTTGTAGTAAACAACGGCTTATAATTATTTGTACATTATATGGCTGCCTATGTATACTACATATCCAGTATACTCAAATATCAAATAAATACTAACTATACGGGCTGAATATGCTAAGCTAATTTTAATTATTTTTAGTTTTAAAATTAAATTTAGCTCTAATAAGTAGACATAAGACTCTCTCATCATTTAGAGAGAGAGAGAGAGAGAGAGAGAGAGACTAAGTTAGAGAGATAGAGATGCTATGAATTAATTAGACGTGAAGTTAGTATACGACTTAACGCCGGTATTACAGACTCTCAATGTGTGATGAATTGAGATACAGAATCCGTAAAGTGCTTATGGAGTGGGGGGTAAGGCATGCGCGGCAAACACCACGAAAAGTACGGCCAAAACATTATAACATTTTCATAACCTAACGGCGCTCTCACACCGAGTCTCTTACCATTCACTAACTGTGCGCTCAATGGCTCACAACTGATCCCAACTCTCCGAGTGATAGTCGGAGTTATGTCTAAACCGTAACAATTTGTATCAACTCTTTAATGGTGTTCACACTCGCAGAGAATATTCTTTAGTGTATTAATACATTAAGAATATATTCATGAATTCTAGATAATGTGCGACTAGTATACGATATATCGCTATACAAGAATATTCTGGACATTACTACTGTATGTCTAAACTAATAACTACATTATATTTACCGTACAAACAAACTCAAAATTGTTAAATAAATAATAATAAATAAATTTACTTTATTATTTGTGTATAGAATGAAAAATAAATAAATAAATAGTTATTTATAACACAAAAAGTGATAAAAACAATGTGTGCTAACGGTGTTCAACAGAATTTAAAATTTATTTAAAAAGTTTATAACCAAAAAATACTATAAAATCACTCATTATGTCGGCGCTAAGCGAGTACTTCAACACCACTTATGGCTATAATAACAGCGCGTACGACGAGTACCAGAATATATCGGACGACGAGTACTACTCGAGACTACTGGAGCTGATCCGCAAAACGCACGACAAACCGCTGACCACCGGCCAACTGGTGCACCACATAGTCATCATACTGTGCTACTCGCTGATCATCTTGGTCAGTCTGTGCGGCAACCTATTGGTGGTCAAAGTAATCGCGTTTGGCAAACGAAAAATGCTGACCACAACCAACATACTGATCGCATCCCTGGCCTTTTCCGACATTGTTATGACCGCGTTCAACATACCGTTCAACGTGGCCAGGCTACTGTTAGAGTCGTGGCCATTCGGGGCGTTCCTGTGCGTGTCGGTGCCCTTCGTACAGGTGACCTGCGTGTACGTCAGCACCTTTACCATGACGGTCATCGCGTTTCACAGGTGGTGGACCTTACGCCGGGCCGACGTGTCCAGGTCGTTGACTAAGTTTCAGCTCCTGGTGACCATAGGCAGCACGTGGCTGTTGGCCGCCACGCTGGCCATACCGCACTCGGTGTTCAATAAGACAATAGTGATACCGACCATCAAAAACATGGTTCGGTGCGAAGTGGACTACCCGGACATCGACTTCCGGTTCCCCTTATGGCTGTCGGTGGAGGCGTTCACCACACAGTACTTCGTGCCGTTGAGTATCACGATATGGCTGTACATCAAGATCGGTGTGATTATCAATAAGCAGGGTATGATCGCCGGCCAGTCGACCGACGAACGCAAGCGCCTACAGTCCGAGGCCCGTAAGCGGCGCATAGTTATGCTAATTCTGGTGGTGACTGTGTTTGCCATTTGCTGGTAAGTCGTACAGAATATTCTGTACTTTTTATTTCCAGTGTATATCGCAAAGGATTGCAACGATTCTTGATTTGTATGTTTATGTTTTGTTTGTATTTATTTTTTGTGAATATTTTTATGCCTAGCTTATAAATTATTTATCAGGCCTTATATAATGAGAGTCATGTCATAAATAAAACAATAGTTGGTTTAGTATAGTTGGTGGGGAATGGGAGGTTTTGTGTGGGATATGTAGGATTTTCTATCTATGCTATAATAGAGATGTTAATTATTTTTGCGACAAATATTCCGTGTTTTTGAAAAGTATTTTAAGTTGTCGTGTAATTTGTCACACGTGTAGTTAGTTTTTATATACCATAACCTTAAGTATGTAAGGTTACGGCGAGGGCTGGTAGTTTATTTTTGTAAATCGTAATGAGCATTAATAGTTTTAAAAGTTATAATAAGAATTTGTAAATTATAGCTAAACTGTTTTGTGATCATAAATTAGCATTAACATTTTTGATAGTTTGTATTATATTATATAAAATGTAGAATAGTTATATTGATAATCTTAAAAAATGCAATTTTAAACATTTAAAGTATTGATGTGTACTGTTTTGCACATCATTATTTAACCCAGATTATTCTTACAGTAAATACCATTTATTACATTCAAGGGATGTGAAAATAAACTGCAAAGTTTAGCTATTGATCCCATGAATGATCATTTAAATAATTTACAATAATACTTAATATCAGTGAAAATGTCTCTTAAATGTAGTCATCATAGATTTATACCGGTAATATAAGCATATCAAATATAAGTTCTGTATAGATTTCAATCTATCATGTGTAAATATGCATTATACATTATTTATACATATTACAACATAGCACTTATATAACGCAAACATTTTCAGGATTAAGTTTAACAAAGACTCGGATATTTTTGCTACGATTTATTGAATCAGATATGATATTAAGTAAAACTGAATGCCAATCGATAATATGGATTCAATAGCTAACCATACAGTAGACTCCAAACGCCTAATAATATAACCAAAAATCTTTAAATAGCGTGCATTTGATAGCACATAGAAAGTCAATAGAAATTTGAGCCCAATCACATCGTATTTACACTTTCTTTTACTATCTCTCACTTTACTTAACATTAAATTACAAACACTTTTAATCAATCAGTACTTTCTCTCTGTCTCTCTCCCACGCACTACCTTTCCCTCTCATCCCTAACCCTAAACCCCTGTCCCCAATAGGCTTCCGCTGAATTTATATCACTTATTAGTGGACTTTGAGCTCATTTCACGACATTATAACATATTCCTTGTGTGCCATTGGTTTGCCATGTCGTCCGTGTGGTAAGTATTTATCATATATTTAGTAATTGTGCCTGATAAAAACAAAAATCTCCTTTCAAAACTGCTTATTAAATTAATTTATCCGCGGAATGCAAAACAAACAAGTAAAGTTTGAACAATTTTAAGTTTAATATAAGTAAAATATAGACAAGTTATGTAGTGTACATGTAAGTTAAGTTGAAAGATAAAATTCTAGATTATTTTTGCGAGATTCAATTTGTTTTGCTTTCCCAGATACCCGTAATATTTGCGATTTGTAGATACCCTTGATTAGTTAGCATATTTATACAACGAATATAGTGTGTATTTGCTTTAAGATACTAAATGAATATATTCTTGTTTTTGATGAATGACTATTTATTCAAACACTTTAGATGTAAATGCACATAGTTGCATTTTATTTGTAGAAATTAATATTTATGATTTATCCAACATAATGTTTAATAAAATATTAAAACGTTTTTAGGAATTTAACTATTTAAATATTACACTTTGCTTGGATATATTTAAAATTGTTTACGTCATATTGCATTTATTTGTGCTACCATAAAAAATTATTCAAATAAATGTATAGATTTTAAAAAGTTAATACTTTAAAATTTATTTTAATGCATATTTATTATTAATAGCGTCAAATATTTTGAATATTTAAAAGTTACTAACTTTACAAATATTTTGAATATATAATGTAATTTACCGTATATGCATGGTTTAAATACTATGCCACTATATCAAATATTTAGGGAATTCTTTATTATTGAGTATATACTCAAATAATATATATTTATCTATATCTAAGAATTTCAATGAATATAATATATTATTTTGAATGTGTTGAATGTGTTTTCAATAAAAATAAAACAATTTCGCTCAGGATAATACAGAATATTCTGTGTACGTATAGCTCATGAATAACAAATAGGTATCCATGTGTGGGTATCCATGCCTTACTAACAAACCGTTAACTGGATGCCAACAATTTAATTATGCATGCTACCTAAATCAATGATTTAGTGTTAGGTGCTCAAAATTAATTAAAAACTTAAAACAATTAACTTTTTTTAACACATCCTAGTGTATTAGGTAGTGTATAATAATAACAAACAACAACAACAAAATTTATAAATTACATTTAAAAATTATGTCCCCTAAGTGCACCAACATTAATCATAGAAATAAAGCTTATTTTTTTGATTGTTTTTTTATAATCTTTTTAAAAGTTTTGTTTTTTATTTTAAATATTTTGTTTTGTTTTTAATTTAAATATTTTGTTTTGTTTTTAATATAATATTTTTGGTTTTGTCTTACAGTTACAACCCATTCATTTACTGCTACCTAAACAATAGCTTCAAAAATGGTGCGAAAAAATTTTATCACTTTATTCTGTGCCGAAAGCCGTCACCGGACTCGACGGTAGTCAACGACAACGGCACTCAACGGCAACTGAGGCGCCAGAATACCGACGCCGTCGCCAACACCGGCGATGAGAGTCCCAGCACTCGGATCCGAGACGACTGTAAAACAAAAGTGACAAATGTTGACACAACTAAGAGCTTGGATTAAATTCAATGGGGAATGGGATGTGTTCGACAAATTGAGAACAAAATTTCTACATTTCTATGTGTACTACCTGGGCTGTTTATGTGTGTGTGTTTAATAGTATATATATGTGAATAGTGTATAAATATTTATAAAATGAACTTATTTTTCAATTCCTATACTATACTACAACTTAGTGTTTATTTAGCAAACACCGTGTATAGTGTTTACAGAATTCACGAGATTTATTTGCTGTGAACTATAGCAAAATAATAATATTATTATATACATAACAGAATATTCTACGTAAAATTTAAATATGATATTAAGTTGAATAACAAAAGTCTTATCATATTAAATAAGAGGTAATCGTGTATTAATAATAATTATGTTAACGATAAGTGTGCGATAAACTAAGTGCTCAAGATAATGAAGGTTTTTAATGAACGGAATATAAATTACTTAAATATATTTGAATATATTATTTGTTTTTTACAACAACACTAACTCAATAGCATTTAAGCTGATATTTAAATATTTTCAACATTTAAAATACAGTATCATTAACTGTACAGAATATTCTGTACCTATTATTCCGTATGCTTTAATTACAATTGATATTTACTCGACACGTGTCTGGTAAACATCATATGAGTCTGATATAACCCTGAACCCATACAAATCGCCATCAATTAAACTGTTGTTTATTGATTTCTTTGATATATATATTTATCGATATATTATATATAAATTATAGACTATTTTCATACATTATTTGAACGCTTATCACAAACTTATGGCTGTATTTAAGCTATGTTTGAGTTAACGGTAATTAATTTTGGATATTTATTTACTATAACATAATTATTATATTTATTTGTAAATATGATAGTAATTGCACAATAAATATTTGTTTAATATAAATTACCAATAAACTAATATACTGTACCATTAAACCTTTAATGATGTTATAATTTATAAATAATTATCATTTATATGATAAAACACATAAATTAATAAAACTTGTTTTATTCATCACGTGTTATGTTTGTATAATTACTATATATACATGTTATGTAGATAATATTATCTAAGACATATTTTTAATTAATATAGATTATTAGTTAAAACATAATGAAATGAAATTTATTTTTCAAACTCCAACATACATATCACAATATAAAATAAAAATTTGTATTATACTAAACAGGGACTACATTGTGATGTCGTCAACAAATTTAATTAAAAACATAATCCCTCCCATTCAAATTGTAATACACTACTTTGTATATTATGTAAAATAAAATATTGTTTTTTCTATTGAAATATGATTAATTATTTTAGTGTAATATACATATTTTTATTATATTAAAAATAAAAACTTTATTGATTTTTTCAATCACTTCAATATGTGCCATATATAAGAATATTCTCGATATTATGTAAACACATCTAAAAGTGTTATATTGCTATGAAGTGGTGTGAATGTAGGGAAAAACAAAACTGCAAAATATAAAATTTATATTATATATTAAATTATTTATAGTAGTTTGAATGAAGCACGGTATATGCTTGTGAAATAGAAAATTCAATATCTATTTTGACATTAAATTTGAAAAGTTAAAAATAATTTCATAATTTTTAACTTTTTTTAAAAGCTA